GAGGAAGGTTGAGAACCACTGCCTTAGCACCTATACCAGAAAGGCAACAAGGGCGATGGGTAGGAGAGAGGAGGGGGTAGAGAAAGAGGCCCTTCACCCGGTTATTTACCTCCAGACCTGAGACCTCCGTAAAGCAGCTGCTCTGACTGTGGCCCCTGGCTTCCTGAGCCGTCGTCTGCTGTCTGATCTCCAGCATCGCAAGGGCCTCCAAATGCCGCTGATTCAGAACTAGGTGGCAGCACACAGGAGTGAGTGAGAACCTCAACATCCAGTCTAGTTACACTAACGCCCCGCCCTCATTTCTTCTGGGCCGTACAACCCCACAGCTCCATAACTCTCCAGAACCTCCGGAAATTATTGGTACAAAAATGGGTATCAAGTGAGCAAAAAAGTATTGCTACAAATTCATAGAAACCTTTTTTTTTTCTTTTTAAAATCATTTTCTTGGGAGAAACCTTTTTAGTAAAAAAAAAAAACAACAACCAAAATGTGAAGCTCCTGTTTCTTATATAGCTCATGGTCTTTCTCAACACCTCCTCCACTGTGTTGAGGTGGAGGGCTGTACACTTTAAACTTTATTTGATGATAATTGCTTTTTCAACCAGTAAAGTCATGATCTTTTTATGACGATTCTGTACAAGGTCAGGGTGCACACAGGAGAAGCCATCACTGCACAGTGCTATTGCCTCAAGCCACTCTCCTGATCCCCCTCCTTCCGATGGTTGCTTTTGCTCCGCCGGAGTCCTTCCCAGATCTTACAGGCAAATAAGTGTGGGTCTCCCTCACACATCCCCGGTCAACATGACGGAGGCTTGTGAGGTGAGCAAGAGAGAGTCAGGACAAGGCTAGAGGCTGGGGTCCAAATCTGGCGATGGTGGTGGGTTTCCAGCGCTTTCTCCGATCTGGGTTTAACCTCAGGAATAACATTTCCAGCCATTTCCTTCCAGCAGCACTGCCTTCCAAAATGAAATTCAGTCTGAATATCTCTCCACCGACATGAAGGGCTGCTGGGCTGCTGGTGTACAGGGAGGAAGGACACCCCTCCCACGTCGGCCTTTGGTCTGGTGTACAGGGAGGGAAGGACACCCCTCCCACGTCGGCCTTTGGTCTGCGAGAAAAGCCTGGCCTGGCCTTGGGAAGACCTGCTACACCTGGCCGGTGACACGGTTTGTTGCCTGCGCTGGCGCTAACTCTCTCTGTGACTTCCTTTTGGAAGGGCACTTACCTGGGTTCTGCCATGAGCAAAAGGCCCATTTCCACAAGAAGCATTTTCAAGCCACCTGATAATCCATGAAGTTGAGTGTTAAGTCAGATTCCCAAGAGTATGCATGTTTGGCGCATCATCTCCCCCACTGTCTTTTAAGATTTTCTGAAACAGCCTTTTCGGTCTTAAATGTCAACATTTTTTCCTGGACAAGTCTCGTTTTTCAGGAACTACATCAGAAAGCATTTGTAACCCAGAAATGGATCTTAGGTTCTTTTCAACGTCAAGGAGTTCAGCAACATTGTCCCTGAGAACAGACGGGAGGGGCCCAGGCCCAGTGAATAAGCATGTTTATCAGATTGCCAGCTTTCCTCCAGTCCTTGAACAGAACAAGGAAAGGGGTGCATCACGGCTGTGTCCCTTCCCGGTGTTTAATCCGTATGCCGAGCAAATGGTCCGAGGGGCGGGGTTAGAGGACGAAGAATGCTGCATCCGGGCTAAAGGAAGGCTCACTAGCCACCTGTGAGAGGCAGACATCTCCTTGCTTAATGCACTTGCTGGTGAAGATCAGGGAGGACCGCCTGCTGTGTGGATGACAATGCAGTGTCAAGAAAAGCCAGTCCTTGCAACTGGACTAACAGCGGCAGCATGACAAACAGAGGGAAGACTAAATCAAGGACTTCATCTTAGTCTATCCATAAGCAATGCTCCTGGAAGCCGCAGTCAAGGAATCAAGTGATGTCTTGCATTGGCCAGGTCTGCTTCTCAAGATCTCTTTGGAGTATCCAAGGCAAAAATGTTTCGTGATAATGAACGTGTGCCCGATCCAAGGCCGGCATTTCCCATCACCTCATTCGCAGGTGAAAGCTGGACGGCGAAGGACGCTCGGAGATTGATGAGTTTGAATGAACAGGATTGAAGAAGAGTGTGGAAAGGACCGTAGAGTCCAGAAGAACAAGCAAATCTACATCGGAAGAAGTACAGCCAGAATGCTCCTCTGAGTGACAATGGCAAGACGTTGGACATGTTCCCAGGAGGATCAGTCCCTGAGAAGGACATCACGCTTGGTGGAGGGTCAATGAAGAAGTAGAAGGCACTCGACGAGGTGGGTTAGCACAGCGGCTGCAACAATGAGTGCAAACACAACCATGTGAGCATGGGCAGGACAGGGCAGTGTTCCTCTCTCTCTTGCACGTAGGGGTTCTACGAGTCAGGACTGACTCCGTCATGCACACCGTAGCCACTCTTCCCTGAAGAATTCTGGCTTTTTGATTTACACCACATCAAAGGGTGTACATGTGGCCTCCTCCAGAGACTCAACTCATGTTTCTGTTAATCCTGAGTTTGGCATACAAAAAAGTCAAGGGTAAGAGCAGGGCTGCGGGGGGACACAGGCTAAGGTTTCCCAGTGGTATTTTCATGGGACATCCTTGCTACTCTTGAAGAATGTGTACTGTGATGGAAGACAATTCCCAGGCCCAAATTTCTTGGCCTTTTTCTCCACAATGTAGTTTTCCATTTTCTTAAGGCTTCTTCCTAATAAGTCCTTGTGACCTTCCTGTGTCTGTCAGGAAAACCTATCAAGATCAACATTTCAGAATCCTCAAAGAATAGCTGTAATACTTCTGATCTCTCTACCCTGAATTTGACTGGCTCAGTAGATCCCCCCGTGAAACCACTACTTTAGCTAGATCTCTCCTTTTGAAGGTACCCTCATGAGACAAGGATAAGTGTATTATTGCGAGAACCTGTCTTCAGCCTTCCAGTGAACGCAGACGCATGTTTAAACACATTCAAAATACACCCATGCACAGATGAACTGGAACTCGAGTTGCAATAATTTTTAGTCTTAGCCTCATCTGGAACATAGACCATTTCAGGGAAAACTACAGTGTTAACATATGGTTATAAAGGAATTACCAAAATATATTACTCTTTACTTACTTGCATTTTCAGACTTTAGTATTTTAATTTCTTTGGTTTTCAATTTCAAAGTTTCTTTGAGGACTGCATTTTCACAGTTTAATCTGGGGGGAAAAAGTTTCCTCCAAATAAATAATACAATACCACTTCCTAATTGAATGAGAATATTTTTATTTAATCATCAGAAAACAAAAGCCAAAGTATAATTTTTCCTACTTCAAATTTGTATAGCATTTACATGTTACAGAAGTAAGACAATTTAAAGAAGTATGGTAAGATTAAGCTCTGATAGTTATAACCCTTTTATACTTTATACTTCATTGAGAAACAATTATAAATACCCTTAAATTCATTTTGTACAATCGTTCTCTTTATTAACATTTTAATTCAACTTTGCAACAATTTGAACACCAACTATATGCTTAGGCTGCTTTCAAAAACATGCACAAAAAGATACCTAGAGATCAAAGTAATTAATATCCCAGCAACAGCACAATGCCTTCTGCTGGCTTTGTATCTCCTGCTAGTGAACCTGCCAGCAATGCACAGCCTGCACCTCATCCAGAAACCCCAAACACAGCTAATTGTGGACCCTCACTCACAAAAGTGGTCTGCCTGCCTCAAAGCTGTCAAAGGCATGAAAGACAATGATTGCGTAGTTACTTTATATTAAAGGAAACTGAAATTTACACAAGACAGCCAAACACAATATGGACCCCGAAATGGGGAGATAGTCTCCCTTTTGCTATAAGGAAATTATTAGAACAATTGACCAAATATGAATAAGGTCTGTAAATGAAAGAATACTACTGTGTCAATATTCGGAGCCCTGGTGGCATCATGGGTAATGCGTTGGACTTGCAACCACAAGGTAAGCAGTTCCAAACCACCAGTGTGCTCCTAGGGAGAAAGATGAGACTTTCTACCCCTGTCCTGCAGGGTCGCCATGAGTCGGAACTGACTCGATGGCGTGAGGACTGAATATTGTTAATGTCTTGATTCTGATGTTATGATATTATGAAAGAGAATGTATTTTTCTTTTAATATAAATAAGTATTTAGGGTAAGTTGGTTTCATACACGCAATTTTAAGTAGTTCAGAAAAAATATATATGCACACACACAGTTATCTACAGGGAGACAGACAATGCGAGAGAATGACGCAGCAAATGTGGCTGAGAGGTGGAATCTGGGTGGAAGATTAAAAGAATTCTCTGTACAAGCACTGGTTAGCAACTTTTCTGAGAACCTTCAATTATTTCAGACAAAAATATTTTTTAAATAATAAAACTTTAAATTAGGAGTTCAGCTATCTATAACCTCTATGAATTACTTTATAAATATATGTTATAATTTAAAGTTAGTAAGAAAATTCATACTAAGGAAAGAGTACTTCAAAAGATTTTTGTTTGAAAAAGTGCTCCAATGCAAAAATAATTATGACTTTTCCCTTACACTTTATTCAAGAATTCAGTTACATACTGTATCTGAAAATTAAAGAAACGTGAAGATTGAGACTACAGAAGAGCACGGATAAGCAGTAAGGATTTTACCACAGTTACAATAGCACAAAGAAGAAAAGTGTCAAATTCCAGTTAAATTGCACACATTCTAAAGATTTCAAAAGGAAAACTGTGGAGTAATAATATACAAACCTGTCATATTTTTGGATCCAAGATTCCTCAAGATTTTTAAATCTGTTTTGATCAAATTCTATTTCCCACTGTAAGGTATTTATTTCCTATGAAGAGAAAGTAGAGCTTTCGTAAAAAATCACTGTTCATAAGCCATTTGGTGAGATACTGAACTGCTGGAGTAAATCACTGAACCATTTCACCAAAGTGCAATAAAGAGAAAACGTTTAACTCTTGTTGAAAAAGGATCTATCCCACTTACCAGCATCTATAACAAATCTCTTTACCTTTTAATAAAAGTCTTGCCAAACTTAATTTCAAACAAATTTCTAATTGTTTACCTTTAAAACTTGCCAGAGGGAACCTAGATTTCTCAGTCCCACAACCCTCACCCTCCTTGGCCCAGTCAGGAGCTTCGCATCAAAAGGGGGCCCGCCAGGCACAGAAACTTGACAAAGACGAGCCCTAACTACCTTTCCAGCGAGGGAAGGTTGGTGAGCAGGACATAGCTCGGCCAGGTAAGCGGAGAAACAAACGAAGCACAGGTAGGCTGAAAACTCGACCAGGAAATGTCCAGTTGACCTGCCTCCTACCACCTCTAAATAGGGAAATAAACAGAGTCCTAGTTCTCTCTGACATTGTGACCGTCTGCTTAGATTGTAAACTCCAAGGGGGAAATAACCATGTGAAATCAGAGCGCAGGTGGCAGAGCAGGTGTGCAAATGGAGTAGCTGTTAGAACGGTGACGTTAAGGGAAGGCTGTTGGATTGAACAGATCTCCTGAAAGTGACCCCTACCTTCTCCAAGGACCGCTTTTGTTGCACAGTTTTTTGAAGCACTGCCTGGGTGTGACTTGTGGCTTTACCAAATATTGCCTAAGAGAAAGGAAAACAATATTCGTATAAATGGAAGTGTCAATCATTCCTGTGTGCCCGGCGAAGTTCATATTTTTGAGGAGTACAGAATTAACTTGAGATGGAAATTCCACAGGGACTATCGTTTGTGGAGGGTTCGACTGTTTAGGAATCAGAGGATCTTGGTCTAGCTCTCTCCCATGGTCTACTATATTTTCGTGTGATTCTTAGGAAAAAGTGAAAGGGATGAAGAATTATTAAGTGCTGTATTCAGGCCAATCATTACTTAAATAATTGCTTTTGCCAGTGGTATGCTGGGAAATGTTTAACTGTCAGCCCTCCCCTCAAAAATGTGTGTGTAAAAAAAAGTGTGTGCTTGTGGATCTACCCACATGCAAATGTGTATGAATTAAAATATGTATATACTTTTAGATGCTATATATACCTCATATTCATAAATATATACAAAGGTTATAAATTGTACTGATTTAAAGAATGTATGACATCCAATTTATAAATAATAATAAGCATGCATTAAAGAACCCCAGTAGCAAAATGAAATGATTCTTTAATTCCAAATAACTCATTGATCCTCACAAAACACATTTATATTTGTGGTCAGTCTATGATTACAATTGATGAAATTACGGATTAGACATGAAAGTTGGTTAATGTTTAGTTTACTTTAAGGAGTAAGCTATTTTAAAAGGACATGTTGGAATTTCACTTATTTGTCAATATTATCATCAACCTCTTCATTTAATCAGATAATAGTAAAATATAAAATCAAAAAATAATAATTATTATAAATTATCAAGGGTTCATAAGGAAGGGAGGGGGAAAGAGGGAGGGGGAAAATGCGGAGCTGATACCACGGGTTCAAGTAGAAAGCAAATGTTTTGAGAATGATGATGGCAACAAATGTACAAATGTGCTGGACACATTGGATGGGTGGATGGATTGTGCTAAAAGTTGTATGAGCCCCCAATAAAATGATTTAAAATATAAATAAATAAAATCACTGGACCGTGATGAGCTTTTAGTATTTACTACATTGAATCTTTTCTCCACTTCCTATCACTGGTTCATGGATGAGCATTTTAGTATCTGGTTACGTGGAGCTATGAGCATGCTGAAGGTTGTGGTCTTTGATCTTTATCACGGAGTGCTCCGAAGCCCACTTCACTTTCAGCAAGCCCGGGTGTGTCATAAAACAACCCCAAAATTAAAAATATATATATTGAAGCAGTACATAGCCAGGGAACTAGCAGAAAGGCAAGCTGGATTCAGAGAAGGGCATGGAACAAGAAAAATAACTGCTGACGTCAGAAGGATCTTGGCTGAAAGTAGAGAGTATCAAACAGCTGTTTACTTGGGTTTTGCTGACTACATAAAGGCATTTGACTGTGTGGATAGTAACAAACTCTGTCTATTATTGTTAAGACTGAAAATTCCTAAATGCTTAATTGTGCTCATTAGGAACTTGTACTTAGATGCTGGTTTCAAGAATTCATTGCAAATGACTAGAGACATTCCTCTTGACAAGCCATATGGAACTACATGGAAGGACCCAGAGCCCTGGAGCTGGAGGAGCCACGTGGAAACCCCAGCCAGCGCTAAGATGCTTCCACCACCACTGGATCCACAAGACTTTCCACCCACTAGCCTGTGATATTCCTGCATTTAGCGTCATTACATGTGTTGCGTGAGCCTGAAGAGGAATTTATAGACTGGTATTGGACATATGGGCTAATATCGGAGTTATGAACTTGATTTGAACTGGGCTAGGGTGTTTTCTTAATATATACTAACTCTATATAGAGCTCTTTCTTATACACATGAGTGCCTAAGAATTTGTTTCTCTAGTCAATCCAGACTAACACAGGTAGTGGCTTGGTTCACACCCTCTACTAAAGATAGAGACTTAATTTCACCTTCATCCTATCTGACAGGATAGCAGAGAACTCCCTCCAAAATGAGATGATAGCCGTGGGCATATATAATGCATCACGTAAGCATTATGGCTAGAAGGGCCATAAATGGACCAAATCTCAGAATGCAATTTATATCTCACAGATATTTTTAAAATATCTCAAGAAAAACAGCAGTAATAACAGATCTATATTAAAAACCGCTGCTTTTCTAAAGGCTGGAACCATTTCCTTATTCTGGCTGAGAATGTATACCATGCACAATCAGTGCCACTGAGTATAGTCTTCCAGCTGGGCAACCATCACCCCCTTCCTTTTCAGAGCTGGGTCTTCCTCACGCACACGGATGTCTGTCCTCTGAATTTACGATCTAACCTTCTGAGTTGCTGTTGTCAGTTTGGGTCTATGTAGATCTTAAAAGAACATGATGCTCAATGCAGATTTTTTTTTACAGGTTAAGCTGAACTATTTATTGTTCAGTGTTAAGAAAACTTCAGGAAATGTTTTTGGCTTAAGATTTAGGGATGATCTCAGGGTAAGAGTTCCTGGAATCCATGAAAATTGAAATTCTGTTCTGCATTTCTCTTTTGTTCAGGATTCTTCAATGGAATCTTTGGACAATTGTTCAGTAATAGTCGCCAGACATCGAATGCCTATCGGTAGAGGAAGAGCTAAGGGAACTCTGGAACATACACCCACGGGAGCATCCACTGAACAACAGAGATGAAACCATGAAACGCCTCCTCCATGGGGCCTGTCAACCTTCGTGCTAAGTGAAGGCGGTCAGTCACAGAGGGCACATAGCGCGTGAGACCACTGTTATACGGGGGAAAACATGTAAAGGAAAACATTCATGCCAAAGGCAACAGACAGAGGAGACGCCAAGAGAGGGAAGAGAAAGTAATGGACGAGACAGAGGCTAAGGAACGATAGGAACGCCTAAGAGTAAGAAGGTCAGTCAGGGAGTGGGTGAAGGGTAAACTTTTGGGGATGTTGATCAGAAATATATACTGTTTAATACAAAGTTGATGATCACAATGGAGCTCCTACATAATTTACAATAACAATTTTTAAATAAATAATTTTTCATTTAAAAAATAATCAATGGGGAAAAAATGGTGTTCAGATACCACCCAATTTTCCTGGTCTCCAGGTAGACGAGGCAGTTGGCCAGGGAAGCAATTAGCTACAGAATCTGTTTCTGCTTCCTCTGCTGACTTTCCTCTGCTGCCCCAGGCTTGGACGGCCCCTCGCAAGCTTTGAAAACCCCATTCTACTACACTTTGGAGTAGGAAGTAGAACAGAAGCACGTATCGCTTCACTAGGCCAATTCACTGGGATGTCCCAAGAAAGGTATTATTGGAATGTGTAAGTGATAAAAATTTTAAAAGTGACTCTTTACCATGCTCTGAAGAATTTTCAGTGCTTCCTCTTTACCTTCAAGTTGTCTTTGAGATGCTTCAAGCTCAGTTTTTAAAACTTCTACCTCCTGAGGAAAGAAAGAAAATTGGTCTTCCTGTTTGCAGATATGTAACCCAAATGTTACCAATTTGGCTAGCGCACTTTAACTGACAAAGAAGGTGGACATTTCTCTAGGCTCTGTCAGTGAGCCGTGGGGCTGAGGCTGAGAGCCTCACCATCAGGTGCTGCATGACTGACACATCCCGGTCGCACAGCTAATAGTTTGGAAAAGTACATATGTCCCTTTAGGCCTCATTAACCAAGCACATGGTCATCCATACAGCTGTAATAGCTTTCATAGGAGCCACAAAACCATGCAAATATGGGCTTCCTATTTCCCAAACTGCAGACTCCCTTGATAGAAAGCTCTACTTCCACCAGTCTTGATGCATATCTCAAGCTACTTAGTTCACTGAGCCTGACTATAAAACCCATAGTTATATAAAAGTCAGTTACAAGTGACCGTGACCCTGCAGGATGGAGGAAAACTGCCTCTGACGGTTTCCAAGGCTGCAAATATGCCAGGAGCACGAGCCCTCCCCTTTCCGCGGCAGAACAGTTGAGAGGTTTGAACTGCTGACCTTGTGGTTTGCAGCCCAACACTTAACCCACTGCACTTTCTCCGACTTAGGTTACATTCTCACGGCCAGTGAGTCGATGCCAACTCGTAGCAACCCTGTAGCACAAGTAGAATTACATTTCCAGAAGCAGCCTTTGTGAGAGACAAGGATGGGGCGCAGAGGCGAGGGCACTTGGAAAGCATAAACTTTATACTGGCTCACTGAGAATGCCTACAAAAGCAACCTGGCCTTCCATGTTTCAGTATTATCTATGAAAAATATCCACCAGTGGACTTTTTCCAGATGAAGATTTTTAAGACACTTTTATTGAGCTATATAATTCACTTAAACAATTCAGTAGTTCAGTCATATCAAGAAGAGGTATACAGTTATCACCCAATCAATTTTAGAACACTTTCTTTTTTGGTACTCATCATTATTAGCTCCCCATTTCTTCCAACCTCCCCTGCCCTACCCCAAAGGAACCATTAACTCAGTTACTGTCTCTGTAGAGGTGCCTATCCTTGATTTCACATACAGAAAAAAAATATTTTTAAAGGAACAGTAACAAAGTAAAACATTAAACTCAATCAGAAAGAAAATATTAAGAACCAGAACACTTTAAAATGGATCAAAAAGGAGGTCAAATAATAGGGTGCTACATTTAAACCTACGTGCATCTGTAATAATCTACTCTCCAATGCACTGTGCACCACAGCAAGGCCGCTCACACTCCCTGGTCTGTGGTCCGAGGGAATGCATCAGAGGGTTAATCCACGTGAATTTCCACTTCACTTCTTTTTTTTTTAAGATCAACAACTTTAAAATAGGTCAAAAGGAAGAACAAATGAGATGACACCACACTTTAACTTAACAGTGTCTGCCATGAATGACTTTACACTGCTCCCTGTCTGACAACAAGGCTGTTCGCATCCCTCAACTACGGTCAGAGAGGATTCACCAGAGGCTTAATCATGGGTGGACTTTGCAAATGGATTTTCGGGTTTCAACTGTCATCCAATTTGTTGTTAGGAGCCATTGAGTCAGTTCTGGCCCATAAGAGCCCTAGGTACAACCGAACAAAACACTGCCTGGTCCTGTGCCATCCTCACAATCGTTCCTGTGTCTGAGCCTAATGTTGCAGCCATTGTGTCAATCCATCTTGTTGAGAGCCTTCCTCTTTTTCACTGTCCCTCCGCTTTATCAAGCATGATGTCCTTCTCCAGGAACTGGTCTCTCTGGACAAACCGTACAAAGTACTTAATAGTTCATCCATGCCTTCTACAAAATAGGTGTTCACAATTTAAGCTCTGATACCATTCCCTCCTTCAGATTTTATTATTTACAATCCTTGGATCACACGGCTGGTGTGCTTCATTCATGTGGACTTAGTTGATGTTTCACTTAGATGCCTGCTTGTCTGAAGACAAGCCTTTAATACCCGAGATGCTATTCTTTCTGATTGCTGGGTGCATCAGGTATTAAGCAGGGCTATGTCATAAAAGCTAATTGTTCTTAGATTGGGACTGGAATTAAGTGCAACCCCCAAATCCATTCATATGACTGTGGTTTACATATATGCCTCTGGTTTATCTTACAGACATCATTGTCATTTTATGTCAGAGAACTTTATCAGTCATTTCCCTGGGGCCAGATGAAGATTTTGTATTAGTCAAAGTACCTACCTCTAAAGCTTCATGAAGACGTTGCTTTAATTCTACAGTTGACAATTCTGAATTAGAATCTGTTTGAAAAAACAACAGAAAACAGACTTGAATATTTTTCTTAATTTGTTAAATACAAGATATCTGTTTACAAAATCTCAAATGCAGGTTCCCTTTAAACCGCAAAGAGGGAAAAAATGAAAATCATCCAATTAGTGATGAAAATATCTAGTTTTAAACATTTCACAAATGAAAAGGCAAACTTGGAATAAAAGCAGTGACTGAAAAAAGATTCTAATTTCAAACCAAGACCAATGACTTGTTTTAGTCTTCTACAATAAAAACAAAAACAAAAAAAAAACACCGCATGCATGTTGAGTCAAACAAATACACTTGGGGGTTTGGCTTAAACCCAATCAATATAGTGATATGAGTATCTAAGAAATAATCTGAATTTAACTTCTTGCTAAGACAAGTAACCAGAAGTTTCCTGTCACTTCAGTGACACTCCTTAATGTGATCAATTGAGAATTTAAAATGAGTTTCCCAGGAGCTGCCTTTGCATTGGGGTCTCACTGGCAACAGGAAAACATTAGGTGAGAAGTTACAAGCAAAACGCAAACTCAAGCTGATTCAAACTCATAGGACTCTATAGGCGAGGGTAGGGCTGCCCCTGTGGATTTCCGCGACTGTAATTCTTTACCAAAGTAGAAAGCCTCAACTTTCTTCCTTGGAGCAGCGGGTGGTTTTGAATGCCTGATCTTGGGGTTAGCCGCCAAACAAGTAGCCCACTATGCTACCAGGGCTTTCCCAGATACAAGCATGTGGATGAGAAGAAGAGAAAGGAATAATACTTTAAGGCATATTACAAAATTTATCAGACACACGGGATTGCCCATTCATTTAAAATTATGGTATTTTTAGCACTTGTCATGGATTGATTTGTGTATCGTCCACCCCACTTAGCCCCCCTTGCCCCCGCCCCCTCAAAAATGTATGTCAACTTGGCTGGGCCACGATTCTCAGTGGTTTGGCAGTTACAGGATTCAGGTGGAGCGTCACCCCTTTTCTCAGGCCTCGGAGAAATTTCTCTGGGGTGTGGCCCGTATCGCCTTTTATTTTAGGAGACACAAAGGTAAAGAAGCTACCAGAAAGGGATTTCCTACCACCAAGAAGAAAAGTCAGGAGAGGGAACCCCAGTGGCTGGTACTTCCCCGTTTGGCTGCAAACTGAAAGGGCATGGGTTCAAAAGCACCAGCCACTCAGCGGGAGAAACACAGGGCTTTCCTACTCCTGGAAACAGTGAGTCTGCTTCCAGAGGCAGTCCGACCCTGTCTGGGA